ATAATATGATCATTAAAAAATGAATGTAATTTTGATGCTTATTTTACATTTATTTAAGTATTAGTTGAGGTGAGTTTATTACCCTCTTTTGATATTTGAATTGCTACTTTTAAGACTGTTATACCTCTTACAATTGGTGATGCAGGAAAAACTCCCCAGGACAAAAATCTATAAATCATTTATTTTGGATCCACGTAAGCCACTTGACAGTTGTGTCATCCTGGCACTTGAGAGCCTTGGGTTTTTCCTTTTACATATGGAGGGTAGTGTGACTGCCTTCAGGGTCCACTGGAATCTGAGAATATTGTTTGTAATCTACTAGGAAAAATAAATACTGCATAGTTTGCATCCACCTGATTATATGATCTTGAGCAGGCTCTCAAACCTGCCTGTTCTTAGCTCATCCATAAGCTGAGGATAAGTATAAAACCCATGCTGGGCTGATCTGAAGCTTAAATGAGTTAGTACACAAGGAGAATTACAACCGATGCCTGGTACTCTGGGAGGACTTAGTAATTCCCACCAAGTCTACTCGACCTTGAACCTTGGGTGACTTCTTGTTAGAGAAGCCAGCAGTGATTTGTGGGAAAGGGAGATGATAGAACCTTAGCAGGCACTGATGGCAAGGTCATTAGAGACAGCACTCGCCTTACCTGGACTTGGGAGATTGAGGTAGAGAAGGAAAGAAACTCAGCCAATATCACCTAGCATATTGGTGGCTGAAGCAGGGCTAGAAAGCAGCTCTCTGAGGTTGTCCCACAAGGGTGTTAGTCATGATCTTCAACAGGATAAAGTGTTACTGGAGGTTCCCTGGCTTTCCAAAATCTTCTAAGAACTAGAACATGCTTGCCTGATGGAAAATCAGGGTCACCCTCAGCCCACGACAGAGCACTATGCAGGCAATGCAGGGACTGTTACCTCCTGGGGCAGGTCAGCTTATGATCATCTCCTCTCCATTGTCCAGAGCATCCCAAAGGCTCTAGGAAAGGAGAGTTGCCAAGTCCTTCTCCCTCTCAGGGCTGGGAGACTCTAGAGACCCAGTGTTCTCAATAGTACACCTAGAGACCCTCTTACCTATTACATCAGATTTCATTCCAGTGAAATGAATTCCATTTATAAGCTCACACCTCCCACTGATGTCAGGATCCAGATGATGTTTCCAGTTTCTATCTATTGGACCTCAGGTATTCTCTCTTCCCTCTCAGGTGCTCTCAAGATGCAGTTAGAGGGCAGAATGCCAATGACCTCATAACCAACAGAAAGGAGAAAATTCATCTGGAGTTTTCTGAAGACTGTCTCTACCTGAATATTTACACGCCTGCCGCCTGCCGACTTGAGGAAGAACAGTAGGTTGCCAGTAAGTGTGCAAACAGTCCTAGTCTTGTGTGTTACAGACTCCACCTCTTCAGTGCAACTCAGAGGGGATGAAGACATATGGGGGCAGGAGCATTATGGGTCATGATCAATGTAGGGACCCAGAACTTCCTTTCACTGCAGGAAAATCAACTTTGGAAGACTGTGGCAGAATTGCTATATACCTGGAATGTGCATTTTAATTTTTCCAAGTTCTGTTACAGTCATGAAAATTTACAGAAAGAATAATGTTTAGTTTTGACATTAAGCATCTGAACCTCATAGTAGCTAAGACAAATTTCAAACAAAGTAAGAACCAGAAGGAAACCTAGAGGAAATTTAGAGGAAATAGAACAGTTCAAATCTTTTTGTGCAAATAGAGAAAACAGAAGCTCAGGTAGACACAGAAGGGATAAAAGGACAGGAGTTTGGGTCCTGGATTTTCACACCTGTACTCTCAGACAGGGACTAGTAATGGAGACGTGCCCTGCCTTTCTCCCCACATTACCTGTGACAACTTTCACTGCCGAGTGAAAATTCTCACTGTCTCCTAATGGTGGTTTATGGTGAGAAGCGTGTGTCACTCTCATAAACACTTTTCTTGCCCTTTGGTAACCATTTGTTATTTTTATTGTAGCTCCTTTTCCTCCCTAATTACCTTTGGCAAATGCTGATGACCTCTTGAGTCTGACTTTCTCTTATAAATGGAGATCCGGAGATGGGGCTGGCCACCAGTTATAGGTCCCAGGGTTGGGAAGAAGCACTATAAAAGAGGCCATCTCTGAATTGGAATAAGACGGGATGTTAGAACCACTCAGTCTCCCAGGTGCACCTGGGATAGAACTTAGAAGTGGAGGAGGAGGCTGTGAGTTCAGGAATAGAATTTGATTCTAAAAATTCTTGCTTTATATAGAGAGGTGAGAATGAATCTTTCCCACTCATTCATTTGCCTTCTACTTCGGATGCACTGTCTCCGTACATAGACTTGGGGTCAGGGAAAGCGGTAACATGAGCCATTATGGATAACCTTGCTTTCAAGGATCTTGTCATCTTGTCTGCACAGATACATCAGAACATCTTCGAGCATGCCATTGCCTGCCAGCCCTTGGGCTCAGGCTTCAGTCTAAGATGTCCTTGATTCATTCCCTCCCTGTAAGTAGATGGCACAAAGGAAGGAGAAACAGGATCCCTGGAGCCTGGGAAGCAGAGACTGACCAGCTATGGTCACGGGTCCTGGAGACACAGGGTGTGGGCTTCACTTCTGTGACTTCTTTCACTTGATGAAAAACTTGGAAAATCACTGTCTTCCAAGCCTCTTTTCTTCACGTGGGGATTATGAGCCCTGTGAATGTTGAACTGTACCTCAGTCCTGGCTAAGCACACATAGCAGTAGCACTGACACACTGGTCAGAGCTGTAGGAGGGCCTTACTCTTGCCCCAACAGCCAGATCACTGAACTGTGGTTATGGGCTGCAGTAATTTGGAGCTCAGTGCATGGTGCTGGGTCCAGATGGCTGGTCAAGTCTTCCCTCCACCTTTCATTAGCTGTTGGATCCCCAGCAGAGGTGCCTCAGTCTCTGCATCAATTAGGATTATCTTAGTATCTATATTATAGACAATAACCATTTTAAAGTGCTCATATTATTCTTGCTTGTTTCTCTCCTATATTTTATTGAGTTTTTGTGCATTTCACATAATACATCTTAATGAAATTTAGACCTCCTTCCCCTCCCTGCTCTGCACAGCCATACCCACCAGATTTCAGGTATTCTGTCATACATGTTAAGTCTTATCTGGCCCAGCATTTGTATCCAGATGTCCCTCAGTGAAAGTCAGACTATCTAGAGTCACTCCCTTATGTTGTATAACATTATAAATTTATATTCTCTTAGTTCTATGAAATGTAAGTGCTTTAACTACAAGACAAAATTAAGGATTTTTGTATCCTGACCCCTCAGCTTCAAGTTGTATTACAGAGCCTGTTGTATTATAGTAAACACTCTGATAGTAAAATGACCGAAGACTTCCTAGAGGAGGTGGATGTGAACTGGGCTTAGTAAGGAGAAAAGTAAGGTGCAGAGGTGGCATCAGAAAGGCACATTAAGAAAGGGGCACTAATCAGGGCCACGTATAAGTCTTGATATGATCATATAGATACATTGAAATTAATAGAGATGACACTAAGATATTGGGAACTCCTGGTTGTTTTGCTCAGTGGGGGGCCCAGCTCTGGGAACAGAGAGACTGATCAGCACAGGGTAATGACTCTGGGACTTGAGCTTTATTCCCTGATAAGCTACAAACTAACGTTATTCTCTAACAGCGAGTTTATATACCAAAGAGGGGCTAGTGGGTATGTGCAGGGTCCAGGGTGCATGTAAAGTTCATTCCAGACAAAGACAAAGGGTGCTCATATTACATGTCACATAGGTTGATCTGTCCTTAGCGTGGGTGGAGGGTCATTTGTACAAGACCAGGGAGTGTGTCAGAGCTCATTAACTAAGATGTCTTAATTTTAATTACACACATACTTGGAGTTATTGATTAGGCTGTTTTTCACTTCTAGATCAAGGAAGTCAAGATGTTTTTCTCAGAACAAAGAGACTGTAAACTTTTAACCTGGTTAGCTGCCTATTGCTAGTCATTGCGGTGTTCTACATGACAGGGCTGTAGAGATATTGTTTTCAGTGCCTGGCGCCTTTTAGCAGACGCTGCAGCCTGTTCAAAAGTTCATGCCTAACTTGTCCTGAGTCCAGCCATCTTGGTCTCCAACACTAAAATGCTCAGCTGCCTGAGTGAACCAGGAATTACAATGTTGGGGTGCTGGGGAGAACATGGCATCTTTGTCCTCAGCTGTTGCCATGGTGATATTCTCAGTTTCAAGACCTCTTGAAAGACTTGGCCCATGGGTCTATGGAGAAACATGGGAGACATTGAGTGAGATGACATTCTGGACTCCAGCGAGGCAAGCTGAGGAGGAGGGACACTACCTTCTGCAACTTCGCTGGGCACTTATGGACTTTGAGTGGTGATGCCCTGAGTCAGGACCAGGCCAGAAAACCAAACCAGTTGACTTCTGAGTTTCTTCCCAATTTTGTTTCCTAAGACCAGTATGGTTCTTTTCTTGCTGTCCAGGTGATGGTGTGGATCCATGGAGGTGGGCTCGTGTTGGGAGGGGCATCAACCTATGATGGACTGGCCCTCTCTGCCTATGAAAATGTGGTGGTGGTGACCATTCAGTACCGCCTGGGAATCTGGGGATTCTTCAGGTAAGATATCGGACCCTGGATTGGTCTGATTTATAGTAGCAACTTGAAACTGATCAATCATTAGGAAAAGAGTTTTACTTAGGGTGGCTAAAAGTCAAATCTTGATTCATCAGATTTGGGTCTGGTGAGGGGCCCTGAGTTGCACTGTATCAGGGTGAAGAACAGAAACTGAGTATGTAGGGTAAGGAGGAGTCCACATGGGAAGCCAGAGAGAAAGGAGGGGCAGCCTTGCTCTTTTGGTAACAACTAACTTTTCAGGGAATAACACGATTCCCTTGAGCACATAGAACCCTTCAAAATACAGTGTGCCCAGCTGAAGGGCCTCAACGTCTATGAATTCCATCATTGTATAATCTTCTCTATTAGGGACCACAGACCAGCATAAGAACCCTGTGCCATCAAATACATCCAAAATGTTCAGTTTGCAGAATTAAAGATGCTAGGACTCAGCCTTAGTCATGTCCTTCCTCATGGGGCTCTTTGCCTTATTCCTTCATGATAGGTCTAGTCTTTTCATTAGTGGACCCCATCTACCATCACATTCCTTAGCCACAATTGTCCCCTTGCTTCTGAGATGTCGTTCTGAATGCCTACTCTACCTGATAAATTCCTACTTTTCCTGTAAGACCCAGTCTTCATGTTACTGCCTTTGAAACACTTACCTATTTTTCACCTGTGCTGCTCAGCACACTACATTCCTCTATGACAGTGATTATCACACAGCAAAGCACTTGACTGCTACATATCATCTCACAAGAAAGTAGGAAAGGGCTGGTCTTGTGAAAGGAGCTCAGTGAGTGTTTCTACAGGCAGGTTTTCAGCCAACTACCTCATCCCAAGCTTATATAGCTCAAAATATCAGCCACAGTGAGACGCTTCCTCCTCCTGGTCTTGACTACCTCCCATATCCCTAATTTCTCCTTTTTACCCCTTCCCTACTTGTCCACAGGCTGTGTACGCTGTCTCCCTCTCCTCTCTTAATGCCCTGAATGATCGCAGCAACCCTTTCACAGTTCCCTAATTTGTACCCCCATCTCCTTTGAACTCCAGGTCCTTCTCTTTAGATGCTGCCTTTTGTTTCCCTCGGATGTGTACAGAGTTGTCCCCACACCCTAAGGACAGACTGAGATCTTGACACTCACTGACCATCCCCAGCATCAAAAATCTTCATCTGTTTCTTACAAGGCCCCCTGCATAACTGCTGGAAACTCCATGTTCCTAGTTGCTCATGACACAGGTCCTGTGTGCAACCCAGACTTCCTCTCTCAAACTGCTTGTTCAGTCGGGCAGAAAATCCTTTTAGCTCCACTGTTGAAATATGCTCAGAATCCAGCTACTTAGCACTTGCTCTTTCTACCGACTAATCAGAGTCCTGTTTCTCTGGGATGGATTAATATTATAATGAATCAACTTTTGCATGATAGCTGCTCCACAGAGTGGCCAGCATACTCTGTGAAACAATGATTGAAAGGCTGGGTCATGCCATACCTTTGCATAACACTGTTAACTACAATGGCATGGAAGTTCTTGCCAAAGCTTACACCACCACCCTATCATAGTTTTGTTCCCAAAGCCCTGGGGCCTTTGTGCCTGCTGCCTCTCCTAACTGAAATTCTCTTCTTTGTATATTTACCAAATCCTTGTGCTCATTTTACTTATGTATCCGCCAAATGCCAATGCCTCAAATTGGCCTCCCTTGATCGTGAGTCCTGAAACACATCCCACGACCCTACCCTTGCCTCTTTTTTTATCTGATCTTTTTACAGCTAACATTTTCTTATCTCGTCTGTTGGCTTGTGCTCTGTAATGAGAGCTAAGCATAGATTTTGTCTATTTAGTTCTAAGATGAGCTGTAGCTCTTACAACAGATTTGGATGCATGTTGCATCCTTGGCACATGGTTAATTGTTAGAGTAATGAGTGAGAGCTCCACTCAGGTGATGACTCCTGTGCCAGAGATAAGAGGCCACTGGGTTATGGAAGGCTGTCGAGGATCCCCGATCCCTCTGTGATCCTAAGACCCCAGATATGGTATTTATGCTTCCTCAATTCTCTTGCAGTGCAGGGGATGAACACAGTCCAGGGAATTGGGGTCACTTGGACCAGGTGGCTGCACTGCGCTGGGTCCAGGACAACATTGCCAACTTTGGAGGGAACCCAAGCTCTGTGACCATCTTCGGAGAGTCAGCA